TGTGCAGCAGATTTGCCTAATGCAATACATCCTTTGATTTCTTAACTGCTGCTTCCGCTAGTGTTGATAGTTGATCCAAGAAGAATAAAGTCCTCAACAATTTCAATCTTTTCTCCATTGATAAGAATGTTGTTTTTTGGTCCAGTGGTGAGGATTTTTGTTTTGTTTTTTTACATTGAGATGTAATCCATACCAAAGGCTGTGGCCTTTGATCTTCATCAGTAAATGTTTTAAGTACTCTTTACTTTCAGCAAGCAAGGTTGTTATCATCTGCATATCGCAGGTTGTTAACGAGTCTTCCTCCAATCCTGATGCCACGTTTTTCTTCATATAACCCAGTTTCTCAGATTATTTGCTCAGCATACAGGTTGAGTAAGTATGGTGAAAGAATACAACCTTGTTTCACACCTTTTTAAAATTTAAATCATTTAGTGTTCCTATGTTCTATTCAAACAACTGCTTCTTGGTCCAGGTACAGATTCCTCATGAGCACAATTAAGCGTTCCAGAATACTCATTGATGGACTCAATGATGTCCATAGCTTGTCATGATGCACACAATCAAAAGCCTTTGCGTAGTCAATAAAGCACAGGTAAACATCTTTTTGATAGTCTCTGCTTTCAGCCAAGATTCATTGGACATCAGCAACGATATCCCTCATTCCATGGCCTCTTCTGAATCTGGCTTGAACCTCTGTCAATGTATGATTGTAGCCGTTTCTGTATTATCTTTAGCAAAACTTTACTCGCATGGGATATCAAAGATATTGTCCAATGATTTCCTCATTCTGTTGGGTCACCTCTCTTTGGAATGGGCACAAATATGTATCTCTTTCAATCAGTTGGCCAGATAGTTATCTTCCAAATTTCTTGGCAGACATGAGTGAGTGCCTCCTGTGCCACCTCACTTTCTTGTAAGATTTCAATTTTTAATCCATCAATTCCTGGTGCCTTGTTCTTTGCCAATTCCTTCAGTGCACCTTGGACTTCCTCCTTCAGTATCATTGGCTCTTGATCATATGCTACCTCTTGAAATGGTTGAACATTAACCGTTTCCTTTTGGTACAGTGACTCTGTGTAGTCCTTCATACTGCTAAATTACATTATTACATGCCAATCCATTGAGTATCATGGCCCAGCTGACACATATTTTGGGGAGAGGTTCAGGTCTATATACATGACATAGGTGAAGCCTATGTTAAATACAAAATAAGTATTGAAATATATGCTATTACAATGAACTAGACCATTTTATCTGTCAGGGAGCTTGTGTACCTTAAGTACCCAAACCTAATGATAAAATGAAAAGCAAGTTATCTTGCTAACAGGATGTTCTGAGGCTATGCCATGTCGACTCTTAGGAAAAATGAGTTCCCTGAAAAGCATCCCCCGAGTGCCTAAATCATAAGGATTTTTTCTGATGTGGTGCTGTAGGATAAGCACTTGCTGCACGGTCGATTTGTACCTCAGAAACCCTATGCAGGATCACTATGAGTAGGAATTGACTTGACGGCAGTTAACAGAATTTCTTCATTAAACAATGTTCTTTGAACCACCATTGGCTAGGTCTTTATTTTTTGTTTTTGTAAACTTTTCATTGTGAACTGAGAAGATCATCAGTTTTAAGTTCAACAAATCATACACTGATTTTAAGTTCAAGAAATCATACTATTTCATCTCACTGATTGCAATCCTCTCCATGTAACAACAGTTACCCCACTTCCTCTCTGTGGTTATTTTCATTCCACCCTTCTTCCCAAACCTTCTAACTTTGTCTTTAGGTAAATGTTGCTCTTTTGATCACGAATGGTTTGCCATACCACGGTGAACATACCTTACACTATGTATCTTAACAAGAGTGGTTCCAGTGGTGTAGATGGCGAATGATGTCTGACTGGAGGGGTCAGGAGTGCGTTGGGGGTTAGGAAGTACACCAGTGGCCTCCTTCCAAGTTTTCCTTTAAAGGGGATGAGAAATGTAGCAGGGGCTGGAAGGATAGGTAGGGTCGAGTATTTCATTCTTTTCTTTTTAATTGGGAGAGATTTCAGCATCTGTGTAGGTAGTTAGGAATTAACCGGTGTCGAGGGGAAGACGAGGCCAGAGAGGAGGAATAATTGCAGTGGGCGAGGGGGCAAGGTTCCAAAGATTGGGAAAAGTTGGCTTTAAACGTGGGGATTACTAGTTCCTCCGGTTCCCACTCTAAAACCACAGGATGACGTTATATTAAGCTAAAGAAAAACTGTAAATTCCCTGGGTGGGATACTAGGGCCTGACAACAAAAACACCCAACCTTTGTCAGTCTATTGGCCCCTCCCGCCCCGGTCCTGTACGAAAAACTGCGTTTGCACATGCGTCGTGAGCACACGTCGCGTCGGACTGAGACACTCTCGCGATAAGAACTGTGCTAGCCGCAAAATGGCGCCTCCCAGTTCCCGAGAGCCAAAAGCGCCGTCGATGACGACTGCAGCCAAGAGCGACGGAGAAATGGTGCTGCCAGGCTTCTCGGACACAGACAGTTTCGTGAAGGTGAGTTCGCGGTGCCTCGGAGGCTCCGGGAGTCGCCTGCGTTCTGCAGGAATCAGACTCGGACTTTGTAGGCAGAAAATCCGGTCGCGCGTGCAGCAACAGAGCGTGGGGTGGGGGCCGAGGGGCTGCTGCCGGCGCTGAGCTAAATCCCTAGCGCATCGCCCTCCTGGATGCGGCCCCGAATGCGGAAACTGAGGCACACTCCTCATCATAGATCTCTTGTTCTCCCACTTGGGCCGGTGCAGACACGTTTCTGCGTCCTGGGCATGACTTACCTGTCAGGCTGACATTCCTAGGCTGGACGACCACCCTGATCTCCCGCCTGTGCCTGAGTCCAACGCCCTCACGCCTATAAGACCCTCCCTCTCCTGAAGTCCTAGTCTGTATAATTCCCATGCCTGTGGTTCACCGTCACCGGATACAGCTAGCCTGTGGAGGCTGAAGCACATTTATCAACGCCTCCAACTAGACTGGAAGTTCCTTAAAGAAACCTAGGGAGGGTTCGTTTAAGTTATTTATATGTTGTTGTTAAGTGCTGTCGAGTCGGTTCCGACCCATAGCGACCCTGTATAGGGTTTCCGAGAAGCGGCTGGTGGGTTTGAACCACCGACCTTGCTGTTCAAACTGACTTTGCCGTCTAGCACATTTTCCTGCAGCTTTTGTATATATTTATATTGTTGTTAGTTGCCATCCTAACATTCGGGTCATCACTGTATTGAGGTGGCAGCTCTTCCCCGGTCGTATTTTAATGCCTTTCAACCTGAGAGGAGCATCTTCTGGCTCTCTATCTGACACTATATAGCGTTTCTGAGAGTAAATCTTTAAGGGTACCACAGCCATATTTTTCTCCCTTGGAATAGCTGGTGAGTTTGAACTGCCAACCGTGCTGTTAGCAGCCCAGTGCCTAATCCAGGGTGCCACTAGGACTTTTTGCATACCACTATCTGTTGCTATTATTAATCTACTTATGTGACTCAAATATTCCAGGACCAGCTGTGGTCCTGATTGTGTGGTCTGTCCTCACACTCCACTATGTGCTCCAAGATGACTCCAGGCCCCCTCTCTCCCGTTTGTTTGTTTTTTTCCTGGAAAGCATTTATTCACACAGTGCACAGTGATACCATTTGGCCTTCATGGCCACCTTATCTGTGACAATCACTGCCGTTTGTTTCACATTACTTCCAGCAATTAAAAGTGTGGTGCTGTGGGTTAATGTGCTGGACTGCAATGTCAGTTTGAACTGCCAGGCCGGTGGTTCAAGCTCATCAGCTGCTCTTTGGAAACCCTATACAGGGTCTCTGTGGGTTGAATCTGTCTCCATGGCACTTAACAACAACAACTGGGCACTAACCAAACCATAAACACAGTCTAGATTTGGGCATAAATCAGTTATGGTGGTGGTTGGTGGTTATGTGCCATGGAGTTGGTTCCAACTCATAGCGATCCTGCATAGGCTTTCTGAGGCTGTAAATCTTTACAGGAAAGCCTAATCTTTCTCCCATGGGACTGCTTGTAGTTTCAAACTGCTGACCGTGAGATTGGCAGTCTGATCCAAAATTTGCTTATATTATGTTTTCTGAAAACGCAAAAATTCCTGTAGGAAACTCATAGATCTTATTTTGAGTAATAATAATTGTACGTATGTGCCAAAATCACTATCCTAACTGGTTTTATTAGTTCATTTAGTCCTCACAACTATGAGGTAGGTTGTTTTGTTTTATTTTTAACGTTGGATGACGGTTTCATTCAACAATTTATACACATTTTGTGTAACAGCACTTGTCTCACTTCCTCCCTGTGTTTCCTGTTTCTGTTCTTCCTTTTTTTAGCCCTTCTGAACTTTGTCCTTGGGTGAATGCTGTCGTTTCTATCTCAATTGGTTGATGATTCTAGGGTCTGCATACCTCGCTAGTGTTATTGGTCCCCTTGTAGACCTGTCTATGGTTTTGCTGAAAATTGAGTCACAGGAATGAGTTCATTTTCAGACCTGAAGGGTGAACAAAGGCCATAGTCTTGAGGGTTATCACCATTTTCCAGAGAATGAAACTAAGGACCGAAAAAGGAAATCATTTGCATTTGCCCAGGACCACAATTAGTAAGTAGCAGAGTTAAGATCCATACCCAGACAGATTTGAATGCTTGTGTATATGTATTTATTCTATCTCTGCCTGTTGTTGTTAGGTATCTTGAGTTGGTTCCAACTCATAGTGACCCTATGCACAACAGAACGAAACACTGCCTAGTTCTGCGCCGATCTCACAATTGTGTTATGCTTGAGCCTACTGCTACTGCCACTGTGCCAATCCATCTAATTAGAGGGGGTGATGTCTTCCTCTTTCTTGCTGACCCTCCACTTTACCAAGCACAGTATTCTTCTTCAAGGACTGGTCCCTCCTAATATGTCCAAGTATGAGAGACAAATTCTGGTCATCCTGGCTTCTAAGGAGCATTCTGGGTGTACTTCTTTCAACACAGATTTATTTATTTGTTCTTCTGGCATTTCCATGGTACTTTGGAAATTTTTCTCTAATGCCATAACTCAAATGCATCAATTCTTCTACGGTCTTATTCATTGTCCAACTTTCACATGCATATGAGGCTATTGAAAATACCATGGCTTAGGTCAGGTGTACCTTAGTTCTCATACCAATATCTTTGCTTTTGAACACTTTAATGAGGTTTTGTGCTGCAGATTTGCCTAATGCAGTACGTCATTTGATTTCTTGGCTGTGTTGGTTGTGGATCCAAGCAACGTGAAGTCTTTGACAATGTCAGTTTTTTCTCCATTTATTATGATGTTATTTATTGGTCCAGTTGTAAGCACCAAAACTTGGCTTGTTATCATTGTATCCTCAGGGCCTATAGAATAACACCTGAGATTGAGTCAGCACTAAATGGATGAATGGATATTTCTAGCATGGAGTCTTGGTCTGGCACTATAGGATGATTGCTAACCACAAAGTCTGTGGTTCAAACCCACCAACTGCTCCTTGGAAACCAATACAGGGTGCTAGGAGTTGGAAGTGACTCAACAGCATGCAACAATGACAACAGCATCTAGTACAAAACACTATGCATAGTTTTTTTGTTATGATTTCCTGAATGAATGGAAACGCATGTTTAAAGTATGTCTTCTTTTCTCATTCCTGACAGTTTGCTCTTGGGTCAGTGGTAGCAGTTACCAAGGCATCTGGTGGCCTGCCACAGTTTGGTGATGAGTATGATTTTTACCGAAGTTTCCCTGGATTCCAGGCATTTTGTGAAACACAGGGAGACAGGTTGCTTCAATGGTAAGTACTGTGTATTATTATGTTAATAAAAGAAGTGAAAATAAAGAGATAATTTTTTCTGAATTTTGGTTTTCCTTGCCCTAAATTTCTAGGTTATAAAATACGAAAATGAAGCAGTGGGATCAGAGAAATGTTTTTTGGGTACATTTTCAGACTAACTTGAAAAATTAGGTTGACTTTTGTACTTAAAGGCACAGAACTTGTTTGACTTCATATGGTACAAGATTCTCTCACAACTAGCAGAGTCACAAGTATTGGTTTTTCTGCTAAGTGTAATAGGACAATTAATACATAAGCATTCATTTTGTTTCACTGCTATATAAGAGAATTAAAGAAACTGTTTAAGATTAGTCGTGTTAAAAGACAATGAAATAAATATGGCATATATTATTTATATAGTATCACATTCAAGGGGACTTTTAAAAGTTCATGGAAAATTTTTATTATCTTTACAGTTGCTTTTTTCCGTGAACCTTTTGAAGCCCCTTTGTATATTTTTTTAGAATTTAAAGATACCTTTGAGGCTTAAAGTTAAAAGAAACTCCTTTAATTAGCAGATAAGAAAAGTGAGTTCAGAGAGATTTAGTGACTTGCCCAAGACCAAACAGCTAACATCTTATTTTTGATTATTATTACAAGGGTGTAAGGCTTATTAATTTGGTCAAAAGGTATTGGGAACATGGAACCCTGTGCATTGCTGGCAGGAACGTACGATGGTGCCACTTCTGTAGAAAACAGTTTGGCAGTTCCTCAAAAAGTTAAACATAGCCTTAGTGTTGTTAGGTGCCATCGAGTTGGTTCTGACACATAGCGACCTGTTAACGCTTGTCCTGTGCAACAGAACAAAACACTGCCCGGTTCTCCACCATTCTCAGAATTGTTGCTCAGTTTAAACCCATTGCTGTAGCCACTGTGTCACTCCATCTCATTGGGGGTCTTCCTCTTTTTTACTGACCCTCTACTTACCCAAGCATGATATCCTCCTCCAAAGACAGGTCCCTCCTGATTACATATTCTTCCTCACTTCTAACGAGACATTCTGACTTTGCTTCTTCCGTGACAGATATGTTCACTTTTCTGGCAGTCTTTGATGTATTCGGTATTCATCAACACCATAGTTCAAATATATCAATTCTTCTTCAGACTTCCTTATTTATTGTCCAGCTCTCACATGCATATGACACCATTGAAAATAGCATGGCTTGTGTTAGGCACACCAAAGTCCTCAGAGTGCAATCTATGCTTTTTGACACCTTAAAGAGGTCCTTGTGCAGCAGATTTTCCCAGTGCAATGTGTTGATTGATTTCTTTTTTCGTTTTTTCCAGTTTCGGGTTTATTTTTTTAACATCCTAATATGCTTTAGGTGAAAATTTACACAGAAAGTTAGTTTTTCATTCAGTAATTCGTTCACAAATGATTCTGTGACATTAGCGCATTTTCTACAATGCCTCAGCACTCTCTCCATCACCCTAGGCTCCCCATTTGTATTCATCTCATTTCCCTTCCCCTCCCTGCCTTTTCATCTTTGCTTTTGGGTGAATGTGGCCCTTTTGGTCTCATAGCTGATTGTCCTATGGAGGGGAGCACATTCCTCACAGGTGTTATTGGTTCTTTTTTAGCTGTTAATGAGTCTTCCTCCAATCATGATGCCATGTCCTTCTTCATATAGTCCAGCATCTCACATTATTGGCTCAGTAGACAAATTGAATAAGTATGGTGAAAGACTTGCCATATGACCCAGCAGTTTCACTCCTAGAAATATACCTTTAAAACTTGAAAGCAGGGATTCAAACAGATACTTCTACAACAGTGCTCATAGCATTATTATTCACAATAGCGAAAAGTGAATGTAACTCAAATATCTATTAACAGATACATGGATAAATTAAAAGTGTATTTGTACAATGGAATATTAATAAGTCATGAAGAGAATTGAAGTTCTGATACATGCCACAACCTGGATGAACCTTGAAAACATTTTGCTAAGTCAAATAAGCCAGATACAAAAGGACAAAATTATTTTATAATCCCTCTTATGTGAACTCTCTGGGACTCCTGGTGTTGTGTTGTGGGTTAATGCTCAGGACTGCAAAGTCAGTTTGAACCCCAAGGTCGGTAGTTCAGACTCACCAGTCATTCCTCAGGAACCCTATACAGAGTCACTATGGGTTGGAACCAACTCAGCGGCACTTAGCAACTACAACAGCGTATGAAATCTTTAAAATAGGCAAACGCATAGAGAGCGAGTAAGTAATTTAGTGGCTACCAGGGGCAGGTAAAACAGGGAGAATGGAAAGTTGTTGCTTAATGGATACAGAGTATCTGAGGTGATATCGTTTTGGAAATAAATAGCACTGGTGGTTGCATCCAAAAAATATAGAGGCAGATAGATACTACTGATGCTTGTGGTTGCACCACGAGATACAGCCATCTCAGTCTGAGCCAAGCCATCTGCAGTTTATCCCAGAAGATCAAGAAATGAATAAGCATACACAAACTAATACTTGTATTCTTTTCTTAGCATGAGTAAGGTAATGCAGTACCATGGGTGTCGCAGCAACATTAAGGATCGAAGTAAAGTGACTGAGTTGGAGGACAAGTTTGATTTACTAGTTGACACCAATGATGTTATTCTGGAAAGAGTGGTGAGTGTTTTATATTCTTCTTGAATAACAAACAAATGAGGAGCTATTGTGTTATTAAGATATAAAGAGAAATCCAAGCATCTTAAATGTGTTTAGAATTTCTTACTGGTAGTTGGCATCCTTTGGTAGTTGGCTTCTATTTTCCCCAAAGATAAGTACGTAATTGTCTTCAAAATATTACTGCTCCTTCTCAAATAACAAAATAAATATTTAAGAAAAATATGTATATATTAGTGCTCTGTGGAAGCCTGTTTTTAAAGTGCTTTAGTACATATCCACCCCAGATTTGCAAAACCTATCTGTATTGCAAGGAAAGAGGCCTCAGTGTCAGTACAACTTAAATTTAGTCTATTTCTCACTGCTATTCAAAACCTGCTCAACATCCTGAGTCTCTGGATTGGAAGGAGATGTGGATAATCTGGCCTTGCTTGTTAATCTGTTTACACCTAACACTGTTTAACCACTGAACATTATGTGCAGAATTACACAGAGATCATCCAGAGCAAACCTAAATCTCAACCTTGTATAGTCCTGGAGATATTTAAATCCTGCTATCCTGTCCCTTGAAGTCGCTTCCATAGTCTAAACGTCCACAGATCTTTTCATGGGTTCTCTTTTTGTAAGGTCAAGTTCCCAGGCATTCCCTAGCTTTGCTCTGTTGTACCACTCCCACATTGATAGCATGAAGTAGACCAGTATTACCATCTCCTTCTAGATACTATATGCCTCCTTACTATGTGCAGTTTAGCCTTTTTAATTATCTTAGTGCCCACGTCACACTTAAGTCATTTGAATTTTCAGCCCACTTCAGAGCTGTAAAGAAGTAAATCAAGGTTTGGGAGAAAATGATTATTGCTTTGAGAAAATAATGCTCTAATTATTTGGGATTGGAGTCTTGTTGTGGCACTGTGGGCTAATGCATCAGACTGCATAGTCGTTTGAACTGCATAGTCGGCAGTTCAAGCTCACCAGCTGATGGACAACAGCAACCTACCATTCACTGGTGCACTTTTGTATATATATATTCTCTTACAGATCATTCTTGGAATCTTCTTCTTTAAAAAAAATTTTGATAATTAACCCTAGTAATGGAGTTCTGTGGGTTAATGCGCCAGACTGCAAAGCCGTTTGAACTGCAAGGTTGGCAGTTCAAGCTCACCAGCTGCTCCTCGGAAACCCTATACAGGGTCGCTCTGGGTCAGAATCGACTCAACAGCACTTAACAACAACTACCTTAGTAATGAAAGGACAAAATAACACCTTTTATACACTTAGGGTATATTACTGGATGAAGCCTCAGGTGTGAATAAGAATCAACAGCCTGTCCTCCCTGCAGGACTGCAGGTCCCCAAAACACTCGTGTCCAGCTGGAACCGGAAGGTGAGGGCTTCTTGTCGGGTTTTTGAGAGGTCATTATGTCAGCTTGCAAGAGGGCTTTTGCCCATTCTGATTTGCATTTCTGTCCTCTTTAACTCATTCTCATAAACTTGTTCTCACCATCTCCTAACACAGTCTTCTCCACATTGCCCGCCTAGCCTTACACACATGCACACCTAAATGAATCGCTCTTGGCTTGCTCTTGTCATCCTGGGGAACTGGTCACATGAATTGGAATTTATATTTCTAATTCATCAGGTTACTGTGTTATAAAATATTTTGTGTTTTTTGATCATAGGCAGGAGAATATAGCAAGAAAACAAAATCTGAAACTTTCCGGCTGCTTCATGCAAAGAACATCATCCGACCGCAACTCAAGTTTCGAGAAAAGATTGACAATTCCAACACACCATTTGTTCCTAAAATCTTCATTAAGCCCAATGCTCAGAAACCCCTACCTCAGGGTAAGTGAACTCTACTACCTAAGTTTAAATCTTCCTTTAAGCCTAGTGCAAAAGCAAGTCAAGGGGAAAAGGCTTCTCTCCTGCCTGCCTTTCTTCCGAAGATGCAAATGTGTGTCTTTCTTTTGTGATGTGGTTCTGTTACTGCTTGTGTATTCAGCACTCTCTAAAGAAAGGCGGGAGCGCCCACAGGACCGTCCTGAGGACTTGGATGTCCCACCTGCCCTGGCAGATTTCATCCATCAACAGAGAACCCAGAAGGTGGAGCAAGACATGTAAGTGCTTACCTGTGCCTGGGCTGTCTACTGTGAGTGCTTATCTTTATGCCACATATCTGCTTCCAGTTTGCTTTTGTAAAATGTGAAAAGGAAAATGAAGAATCTGAGGAATGGGTGATGTTATCCTAACCTGAATCTCAGCAGCAGTAAAAACTCCCATTTGTGTTGACAGAGGATTGGCTGCACACTGCGGTCCCGAGAGGTAGCAGTTGTTCTCGCCCCATTGTGCCGACTTCCCACAGTCCTGGACCTTTAAACCCACGTTGTTTTAGAAATTTCTTCCTTCTATATTCTGGTAGCGTAGTGGTTACAAATCAGGCTGCTAACCTGAAGGTTGGCAGTTTGAAACTACCAGCAGTTCTGCAGGAGAAGGATGAGGCGTTCTGTTCCCGTAAAGATTTACAGGTCGCTGTGAGTCGGAACTGACTCCACAGTACTTTTCAACAACATACTACTCTGCCTTTCTTGTTAGGTGGATACACAAACAAGAAGGTAAGGCTCCCTGAGGAATTCAGTAAGGAAAAGGCGTTTTTCATTGGCAGAATAAATACCTTGAAAAGCAATCACTTACAATCAATAAATGAAATTTGTCTTCAATATAAAGGGGAAAAAAAGGTGATAACTTTATTAGTATTGGTCTTTTTATCACCCATTTAGCCAAAGCATTTATTTCTTCAGCACCAGTTGTGCACTGTGAGGCCACAAACTGAGTGCTAGAGAAATAAAGGTAATAAAAGGTGGCCTCTGCCCTCAAAGAACTCCCAGACTTAAAATTTTTATACAAATACAGGATTGAGTAACAGAAAAAAATACATTTGCTACAAGAACGACTGAAATATTTGGCTCATCCTCTCACTCTTCACAGATTTGTTAATTCAAGCTATTACAGTATTTTATAAATTAAGTGCTCAAATCTTTATAAGTCAACAGATATTTTACATAAGTGAATCGATTTTTATTTATACATTATGGTTGAACAGGTGCGACCTGCTTTATTTGGCACTCTTAAATTATTGAAATAATGTTGCTCTTTTTGAAAAGAAAAAAATTCACAAATTTATTTTTATTTATTTTTTTTAATTTTATCAAATTGGATCAGTCATTGATTTTCCTTGGAATAATGGAATTTAAAAATGTTTCCTTTTTTTTGGTTCATTTATTCAGGTTTGCACATCCTTACCAGTATGAACTAGATCACTTTACTCCACCAGATTTAGTACTTCAAAAGCCACAGCCCCAGGTGAGTATCCAGCCTTAGTTTAAGAGTGGCCTCTGAGTAGCCCACGAAAATCAAATAAAGTAGACTGGTTGGTGGGACTTTGACATTCCATAAATATGATGTTGTAGTTAGAAGTTAGCTGTCTTGGTCGTTTCAAGTCTTAATTCTTTTTTTGCATTATGAACGATGGATATTCATATTCCTCTCTTTTCCTAACTCTAATTTCTGGATCCAGTTATTTAGGCCTGTAGAAGAAACACCCTGCCATTTCATATCCTCCTTGGATGAACTTGTGGAACTCAACGAAAAGCTATTGAATTGTAAAGAGTTTGCTGTTGACTTGGAGGTAACTTATAATGACCTTGAGTGAAACGTTTTCATTTTTAAGAATTAATCATATAGCTTCTCCCTATAGCTGACTTCAAAAATGGTCAAGGAAAGCCTAGTGATGTTTTTTCTTTCCTCTCCAACCTCATTTTGTGTGTGCTAGCACCACTCTTACAGGAGCTTCCTGGGGCTCACCTGCCTGATGCAAATCTCCACTCGAACAGAAGACTTTCTCGTGGATACCCTAGAGCTTCGAAGTGACATGTACATCCTCAACGAGAGTTTCACAGACCCAGCCATTGTTAAGGTCAGCCAGTATTTCACAGCTCTTACTTGTGAGTGTAAGATTAAAGTGCTTTCCAGTTTACTAAAGAATTTCAACACAAGACACAATAAATTTGAGGGAATAACTCATCTTCCCCACTGGGTACCACATGCTAAACTGTTTTTGTGTCTAAATTCCTGTCCAGACAGCTAAGACTTAGCTCATTACTGCTCAGGAAAACGTTAAATCATTTTAATCACTGCTGCAATGAGCCCAAGCCATCAGGAGGGTTTGAACTTAATGACTACACTTGAGGCTAATGAGCTGCTTTAGTATCATTGACTGGTAGCCCTTTCAAACCTTGAGAGTGTGCAATTAGGAGTGTAGAAGGCTGTGGCCCAATTTTAAGGAAGCATTTAAAACTGAGCATGTCTTAATCTTCGTACTGGCCCCTAATTCCAGTGTCTTAGTAGCTTAGAAGCAGAGCTCCTTTTCAATCTTGTGCGCCTTATACCAGTGAGCTGCATAACTCTTTGTTTGCAGGTCTTCCATGGTGCTGATTCAGATATTGAGTGGCTACAGAAAGACTTTGGGCTGTATGTCGTAAATATGTTTGATACCCACCAGGCAGCACGCCTTCTCAACCTGGGCCGGCACTCACTCGAGCATCTGCTGAAACACTACTGCAGTGTGGAATCAAACAAGCAGTATCAGTTGGCTGATTGGAGAATACGGTCAGTTTACCACTTCAGTATTTCAACACAGACCCCATAAAGTTGATGAGAAAACTTGAATGTAGATGGCAGAGCTTGTCCATTAACATCTCCTCTTCAGAGACCTGTGCTCAGGCAGTATCATCACCTAAATCTGTGCCAGGCTTTTCTCTGGCTGTTGTAACCAACGTAGGGCAACAGGATGTTTTAAGATGATATGCGGGGTTTTATGTGGAGCTGGTTCAGTTACAGCCAACTTCATGAAAGTCTGGTTGAAAGCTGTGCTGTGGCAGACTCAGCCCAGGCCACTCTGTTATCTGCACTCAGATCTCTCCAGGAGGGGGTTGTCTGTGTGTGAGATAGTCTTCCATAAATAGGATTTTAAAGAAAAGATGGTGTTTCATTTTGCTTTATAAAAAGTGTTGTTGTTATTGTTAAGGTCCATTGAGTCCATTCCAACTCAAAGCGATCCTGTACAGGGTTTCTGAGAAGTGGCTGGTGGATTTGAACCACTGGCCTCACAGTTCAAACTGACCTTGCGGTACAGTGCATTGTTCTGCAGCACCACACCAGGACTCATTGTAACAAATACATACTGCAGTATAGGAGCCCTGGTGTGGTGCTGTAGGTTAAGCACTGGACTGCTTAATGCAAGATTGGCCATTCAAACCCACCAGCCCGTCCTCAGAAACCCTATCCTGGGTTGCTGTGAGTCAGTACCAATTCAAAAGCACTTAACACCAACATTGCAAGTAGGTTGTAACTGAGCCTTGGCACTTTCTGGAAGCCTTGCCCATTTTCAAGTATCTACCTCCCTGAGGTTTCAGCTGTTATATGAAGATTCCTTTGAGTTTTTCTCTAATTTTTAATGCTAGGATTTCTAAAGAGAATCTAATAAGTCTGAATATAAAGTGAAAACTGATAAATCCTAAAACTATCACTTGTTTAGGCTAGTCTATACCATGTGCCAAGCACTGGGCTCAGGAACTTAAGTATATTGTTCTATGTAATCCTTAAAACAGCTTAATCACATACATTATTCCCATTTCGCACTGAAGGAACATGAACTCCAAGAGGTTATGTAACTCGTCTAAGGAGGACAGACTTTGAAGCTAAGATTCAATCTCAAGGCTACAGTACTATTATGTTTTAATCACAATATTACCTTGCCCGCCTTTACCCAGCTGTTAAAACAGTGGTCTGTCATATTAAGATGCAGGAAATGTTGCCATAACTATAGTACTGGTGGTCAGAGTGCTTTCTGTTGGAAGGACCTGGGACATACTTGGCACCCATTATATAGACACTTTGCCTCCCATGGGGATGGTTGGTAAAACCATTTCCTGTCTTGCCTTTCTAGTCCTCTGCCTGAGGAAATGCTCCACTATGCCCGTGATGATACGCACTACCTCCTGTACATTTATGACAAAATGCGGCTGGAGCTGTGGGAGCGAGGCAATGAGCAGCCAGTGCAGCTGCAGGCGGTATGGCAGCGGAGCAGGGACATCTGCCTCAAGGTAAAGTATTGTCACAATCTGGCTAACCCAGGAACGCTCTGGGTCTCTTGGTTTCCAGTGATGATAAGAACCAACCCTTTTGAAGAGCTTATGGCAGTTTTGATTCCCACTGATCTTGAATATTCTCTGAATGTTTTGCAGAAATTCATTAAGCCTATTTACACAGACGAGTCCTACCTTGAACTATATAGGAAGCAGAAGAAACACCTCAACACACAGCAGTTGACAGCCTTTCAGCTGCTGTTTGCCTGGAGGGACAAAATAGCCCGAAGGGAAGATGAAAGTTATGGGTGAGGGACTTGATGTTTTGTTGTTAGGTGCTATGGAGTGGATTCCGACTCATAGTGACCCTGTTTGGGGTTTCCCAGGAGTGGCTGGTGGGTTTGAACCCCCGACCTTGCGTTTAGCACTCCAGAGCCCATCCTACAGCACCACAGAGTCTTTTAATACTTGCTTCTAGATTCAGTAGATCTGGTAACAAGGAAAAATGAACTTTTTCATTTCTTTGCCGTGAAAGCGGGTTATGTTTTCCCCTGGGTTATGACATTTAATGGAACTGATTGGTTGAATTTAACGTGATCCCACTTTGTGCTTTGTTCCAGATATGTCCTGCCAAACCATATGATGCTAAAGATAGCTGAAGAACTGCCTAAGTGAGTCTGAGAACTGACTAATATATTCTGACTTTCTCGTATATCTCATGCCCTTCAAAATCAAGCTTTTCTTATTGCTGTTACTCAATGCTGTTTACTCAGAGAACATTAGTACTCTAAGGAAGTTAGCAAAACTAAGAAATGCAAGTCCAAAAGTTTTTGCCCTTGGGCTGCCGTTTAGCATTGAAATCTAATGTCCTGCAACTGTTTCAACAGCTATGCTTTTTATTGAGCCCATTGTAAGCCTCTGAAACCCCCTCCC